ATTCATTATTTTTATTTATTTGTTTTGTCAAAACTTTTATTTTAATATGTAATACAAGTTAGTAGATAACAAGGGCATAGTCAGGGCCGTCCTTAACTGATGCAGGGCCCGGTGCGAGGTAGGGAGCGGGGCCCCCCTCAGTTTGTTCGCGACCACATTCCGGGGTACCTTAAGTGCGGGGCCCCCCTAAGGATGGTCCTGGGGGGGAGTTGTTGAAGTGTGTTTACTTTTGTAAGATGGTCTTTTATGCTATTATCCACACATGCAAAGGACGTTGATAACCTAACTGCAATAAAGTCATAGCCTAGCGTGCAATTACTTGTTTACAGGATATATAGTGTATTTTATATTATTTAGGCACTCATAGGCTAGTTTGACAGAATGTTCTAATTCAACATGCTGTGGGAAGTCAATCTAACTTCACATTTTCTTATTTGATATTGTTCATTTCTTACTCCTTAACAGTTCATCAGGCTCTTAATGATCTATGCCATCTCTTGGAGTATTTGAAGGCCAGGTTTTCCCATCACTCATCATTAGAACCCATTTTACACATGGCTCTCGATTCTCACTTGCACTTGCGCTTATGAAAATGTACCATAGTTCTTAACCATAGCATTTGTTACAATAAGGCTAGCCTATTAATCATTACCAGGCCAATAATGACTTTTTTTATTATTATTAATCTATAGCATTTGTTCTGAAAAACAACAGCCTGCACATTTAGAAACAATAACATGCCACAGTTGTAATACTAATCTAAAGGGAAAAATCTATTCCATAACAGATTCTACAATACAAAATTTACCACAATAAATAAGCCTACAATAAAACGTGATAAATTCTTGTAAAGGTGGTCATGATGAGTAGTTTTAAATGATTTTAATGTATGTTAGTGCTGGTGCAAGATAGTTTTCTCCTCTTTACATCAGTTTTTTTTAGTTTATGTGTCTTTTTCAGAAAATGTTTAGTAGAGTCATTAAAAAAATGTAATGTTAAAATAGGGGTCCCCTGGAAAAAAAGCTTGAGAACTACTGTCCTACTGTGCCCTTAAGTCACCATTAAACAGAAGTTGCAATAGTATTTTCTTTCCAATTGTGATGTTTATATGAGTGAAACGGCTCTTAGTTTTGTGCCTCGGGTATTGATTGGATGGTTGTGGTTTGCTATTAGTGGATCTCATGTGACTGATATGTTACTGTCCAGCCTTTGTGCCAGTAAACACACCAGCAGACAAGAGATTTCACTAAAAATGGTCAACTTTGATTTCGTGGCAAGTAATAATTACTCATATGGTACTATTGTGAGTTTACAATGAACTGCACAGGTCTAACGGTTTGCAAACATATAAACGTGATGCATATAAAAATTCACAGTTTTTCAAATGCATAAATACCTGCAGAAGTGTGACCATCTTTGAACAGACCTGTGAACCATTTCTTTGGCTGTGGAATTTCACACTAGAATTTCTAGCCTGTTAGTGCAAGCTATGTGGTCTGTTATGTTGCATTTCGCTGCAAAACGCATATCTTGCTGGAAAATGCAAATCTCACAGCACCATGTGACAATACAAACACATTCAGTTACACTGGATACTATCGACATAAACTGTGAGAGAAATTGAATACAATTACAGTACTAATCAGATTTAATACCCTATAGATAGATAGAATTGACATGGAGACTAAATACAGATTGAATGATCTTACCGATTGTGCTTTTCTTTTGTAGAATGTTGGCTCAGCATAAGTGATCATTTCTTCACAAGTCTGAACTGTTCAAACAACAATAGATGCAACAGAGGCATTAAACAGTCAATCTTAACTAGATCTGTTTCTTTACAAAATATGTGTCATTATCAAGGCTCAAATGTAAGTATTAATACATATAATTAAAAAATATTTAACTTGTTCTTTTTTAAATGGGATTAATCAATTTTATTATTGAAATCATGTAGGAATGAATTTCTGTGGGTGCACTTGCAATGTTTTTTAAGGCAGTTTATGTGAGTGAGATGAGTGATGAATGCGGTCTAATGCAAAACCCAATAACCACACATTATTTCAGTTTCTTCCAATAAAAAGGAACTAGTTGGCATTAACTACAAAATTATTATTCGAGTATAATAATGATGATTTTGGTTATTGTGACGAGAGGGGCAGGGCCGAGAGCCATGGGAACGGAGCGAGGCCGGTGGAGTAATTGATAATGAGCGACACCTGCGCCACTCACCGGTCTTGAGTCCCACGGAGGAGCTCCAGAAGGATAAAAGGAGGAGCTAGGACAGTGAAAGACGAGAGAGGACCAGGCCTGGATTTTATTTTGTGGTTTGGTTCTGTTTGTGCGCGACAGCCCCTCGCGGACGACTGTCGCGCTGTTTTGTATTTATTTTATTATTAAAGTTTTGTTTAAGTGTTCACCGGTTCCCGCCTCCTTCTTCCCGTGACTACGAACTGTGCTACAGCTATTAATTGATTAAAATATTTAGAATGCAATTTCTTGTTTAAAAGCTGTAGGTAACACTTGCCTTCTCTGTCAGTTTCTGTAAGTTTCCTGCAGATGCAGCACATCAGGACTGCAGGAACAATCAACAGAAATCCAGCAGCAGAAATCAACACTATGTACAATAAGGGTAGACCCTGATCTGTTTTGGACAAAATGAGCTATTAGTGCAACTGAATCTATCAGTATGATATCCAACAAACACTATCAAACATCAGCACTATAACTTATTAGATCAGCTCAGTTAATCAACATTAATATCAACACCAACATACCTGCATATGTGTGACAGAGTTGAGTGATGTCCAGATGTTGAGTCTGGTTGCTGATGGGATTGTTGAGCACACAGCTGTAGCTGTTTTTATCCTGATATTCCACCTCCAGAGGTAGAGAGAGACTGATGCTGAGATCAGACACACTGATGCTGGACAATAAACTGTTTCCTCTGTACCAGGAGAGAGTCACATCACTCACATTCACCACTGAACACACCAATGAACAATTCTGCTGTGATGATGATGATGATGAAGAAGAACATTGAGAAGAGTTACTGCTGATGACAGGAACAGGCAGACGAGCTGACAACATGAGAGAATAAAAATAAATATGAATAAATCTAATCAACAATCGTATTTTCACTTTAATATGTTGAGTGAATGTTTAGTGTAATTATTTAATAAAACAAAAACAAGAATCTCTACTTACCATAGACGGAAACACTGAATGTTTTTGATGATGATCTTGCTCCAATTATCTTTACTTCATAGAGTCCAGCATGTTGAGGTGTGGTGTTTGTGATGATCAGAGATCCAGTTTGATTGTCCAGCTTCAGTCTGTCTCTGAATCTCCCGTCAAGAACATCAGATGTGGGGAGGAATTGCTTCTTTTTGTTAATTTTAGCCAGGAGAGAGGTTTCATTTCTAATATTCCACAGTAAGTGGTCATTTTCACAGATTTCAGTAAAATCATTGTGTAGTAGGACAGTATCTCCCTCCATCACTGGCATTGACTGTATTTCATTTGTTTTAGCACCAAACACACCTGAAGAACATGAACATGGACAAATTAAAGCTCCTTTTGCTTTATAAACCCTGAAATCAGCTTGTATTGTTTAAATATAAGCTCGATACAACAACAGATATTTATTGTATTTTAAACGTATCTTCTGTACTGTAAAATCAACGTGTGAAGTTACTTATTTAAAGAATAAATACATGATAATAATTACTACAACTTAATTCATTCTCATAGACAGATCAAGACATAGCAGGCTCCCTGCATCTGATTCCCTTAATTCGCATGGGGTTTCTACAGTTGTTATCCAGTGAATTTTCATGACTTCTGCACGTTTACTGCTGAAGTGTTTTTAAAGATATTTCTTAGATATTACTGGAGAGGATTTGCATTTATTATTCTTGAAATAAATGTGTGATTACAAAAGATGCATGAGATTTGAAAATGAGAAATTTACAATAACAACAGAAGGCTTGGAAATTTCGATTTAAAATTCTGTAAAACAAAAAAAAGACCTCAGCAGATGGAAATAATCTAATCTGAATTTTAGCAGTTGCTTTGTTTCCAGGAAATGGAAATTAGGCCATATTATAAAAATGTATTCATAAAAAAAAAACTTGTATAACTTACCGATCAGGTGCCACCAGCAAAAACGAAACAAAAATATATGAAACATTTTGTTAAACTGTTCACAGAAAAGTATGATCTAATAAGACCATCTACTGAAAACTCTCAACCTGTTCATTTGGTTTGTAAATCCTCCCACAACAGCGTTTGCCCCACCTATTTTACATGCACATGCTCTGAACTTGAAAAAAAAAGAAGTATAGATTGCATTAACTTTTTTTTTTTGGAAGTACATTTCATGGCAAAATGGAGCTCTGGTTTTAAAATGGTTGTATATATATTTATAGTTTTAATGTATGAAAAAAACAAAAACACAGTTAAAACCACCTGCCATCTCACAGCATCTGTTTTACTGACTTTCGTCTTCTCAGTGAAACTGAAACCTGCTCTGGTTCATTTCATCCCCCCCCCCCACAAATGTTTAATCTTTTGGGTGGGCAAACATGTTGTAAATGAGAGTGGACATTCAGTGCATGAGTGTTTGTAGGTGAAGAAGAGTGACTGCAGTCTTCAGAAACAAACCATGATGACACACTTTCTTTGACACAGAGGGAGGAAAACAAAAGAAAGGCATTTTGTTGGCCACAGTGATTATTTTGCTCATATTTAATAAATCAAGTGTCAGTTCATGCAGGCCACATCAGTCAAGCTTGTGTAACAGAGGTTAGGGCCTGCCTGGTAAGGGAAAATATAAAGCTACCTACCTTGGAAGACTAAAAGTGCAAGGATCCCGGTGCCCACCTGAGTCTTTTCAGTCTCAGTACATGCAAAAATGTGTATGTTATTTCTTACCTTACTGTGTTTTTTTTACACTACAAGAATAAGCAAGCAAAAAGCAGGAATAAGCAAGGTAATATAACAGATCAAATTACAGATTAAAAAGTTTCACTGCTAACCAGATTTATTCTCTCTGTTTTAGGAAACTGGAATTTGAATTTTGCTTCAAGTGGATTGAAATGTAATAAAGAACTACAACTACAATAACTGAAAAAAAAGTTTCAGTATTCTGTCTTGTATCCAAATAAATCTTTGAATGTTCAACAGGATTCTCAAATTGATCTTTCAATATGAATTTGAACCAAGTTACCATGCATTTAAACTTTTGAGTTGTACCAAAGACTATTATATAGCTCAATAAATGCAAATGTGCAATACTTAACAATAACGCAACTCAAAAGATTCTTATGAATCAACGCCTTCTTTTGTTAAATCATCCTTCAAATAAAGTTCAGTCCACATTTACAATACAAATTGAATAATCAGTGTAATGTGTGTAATGAGTGTAGCAGTCAGTGTAATAAGTGTACCAGTACCAGTCTGTACCAGCAAGAGATTTAAGACGATGAGAAGACTTGCGATGAGAAGTGAAGAGATGACTTTAGATGAGTAATAGAGAACTGAGATGAACCAGCAAAGAGATGTCAATCTGTGTGGCAGGGTAATAAACACACACACACACACACACACACACACACAAACACACACACACACACACGGAAAAAAAAAAAGAAAAAAAAAAAACTTGAGAAAAAAACTGAAACGTCAATGCAGACAGAAAAACTTGAGAGCTTTCTGGAACAAAATGTTGCAGCTCAGCCATAGCACGAATGCAGCACAGCCGGAAGGAAAAATGTCCAACTCTCAAATTCTCAAAGCAAAACTTGATCGCAGATCAAAGTCAGTCTCTCTCCAAAAACACCAAAAGGACTTTAACAAAAAAAAAAAAAAAAAAGGAAACAGGTGGAACATTTCTGGTAAATTTTCAGAAACATTCCAGAATTTATGGAAACTTTCCAAAATTTTTTTTTTTTTTTTTTTGGAAATTTTTGGAAACTTTTAAAAAATTTTTAAAAAATTTAAAAAAAAAAAAAAAAAAAAAAAACTGAATCACGATCTATAACACAGTTCGTGTATTACTCGGGAACGCAGCAGAATCCTAAAAAAAAAAGCTTAGATGCAGAATGTGCCAGGAACAACAGTGTTCTGAAAGAAACTCATGATTCTCCTGAACTTCTGCTTAAAGGGGTCATTGTCACGATACACTGCCGGAAGGAACGAAGGAGCCATGGATACACGAAACTGTCTTTTAGTCAATCCAACAGGGTAAATCCACACTTGGAAGGGAAGGAAGACACCCATACCCAACTGGTAGACCCGACAAAGGAGGAATGCACAGACAGGAACTTAAATACATGACTTAACGAGGCAATTGGGAGGAACACAGGTGAACAGAAAGACTAATTAAGAGACAACGAGGACAGGAACAGGAATGACCAAATAAGGGCACATGAGGGAGAAACTGGGTCACGGGGAGCACATGGGGAGCAAAACACAAGAAAGACAGTCCAATCCTTACAGTCATATGATGCGATTTCAAGTTTTCCTTTCTCTTTGAAGTGTTACAAGCTGTTTGTGAATAGATAAGATCCCTAAAGTAAGCAAACCGATGCTTGATGAGGGGCTTGATGAGCGGCTTTGCAATAGTACATGCCGTTTGGTTCTTGGTTGGGACAGCAACTGTAAATCGGGTAAAGACTTCAGTCAGAATATGTCCTAAGGATATTCCCAGCTGGAGCAGTGACAATGCTGCATGTCATCGGGGCTTGGATTCCTGGAAATACATCCTTTGCGAGGGTACATCTTTTACACTGTTCTATCCTTCCTTGGACATCTTTAGGCATGTTAGGACAGGGATGGGCAACTTCAATCCTGAAGAGCCACTGTTTAGCTCCAACCCTAATCAAACACGCCTGGCTGTAGCTTTCTAGTGTCTTGAAGACAGTGAGTACATTTACATGGACAACAATACTCCGATTTTAACACAATTAAGACAATACTCTGATTAAGAATCTACCATGTAAACAGAGATTATTGATTATCTTAATCCGGCTGAAGTCATACTCGAAGTAAACACTAATCGAATTAAGACATGTGGAGTATTCCTATTTTTGTCGCATTATTGAAGTGCAGTATAGATATGTACACACTTTAATCACACTATTACCATCGTATAGGACTTTTCACCGCATTTTGCAACAGGATACACACATGGCAGTGGTCAACCATTTGATGGCAAACAAAAGAACATGGCTTCAAGCAAGAAGGCACATTTTTATCCATCGTTGTCTGTTTGCATGTATAGCATGACATATAATTAACTGCACTTGAAGCTTTCGCAAAATTAAAAACGAAACACCCAAAACTGTATAGTACTGAAGACGAACTGTATGTTGATATGTGAAATTCTGGCGGCAACGTCGGATGGCGTCGCGTGGGAACATAATGACATGTGCCATTAATCGATCTATGTACTATAACATGTAAAACGGGAACATGAAAGGAATATTCTAAAAGCAACTCATGTAAACACCTTAATCATAATATTGTCTTATTCAGAATAAGGTAAATAATTACTCATTGACTAGCTTGTTCATGTGTGTTTGATTAGGGTTCGAGCTAAACTCTACAGGACAGTGGCCCTCCGGGACTGAAGTTGCCCAGCCCTGTGTTAGGCCAATAGAAGTTCCATCTCATTGATGTTAGGGTACTCCTTTCTCCAATGTGGCTGTGTTCATGTTGACTTTCGTAATCTGAATGCCATAAGGGGTCCGGAACAACTAGCTGCCTAATTTTCTCTCCATCCCTTAGGTCAAGAATATATCTGAACATCACTCCATGATGCAACTGAAGACGTTCAAAGTCCCTGCAAAGCTTTTTCAACTCTGGTGGCATACTGTGTTGTCACGCTCGGCTTGGTCTATAGTTTTTGAACAGCATTGTATATGGGATCTATCAAGGGATCACTTCTTTGCAACGGCCCAATTTCATCCCAGCTGTAACCATTCACCACTTTCTTGATGGATGCTTGTACAGCCACTTTAACATCAATTCCTCCCTGCTCCTCAGGATGCAAGTTGGATGAAATCCTTATCTGTGTCCTCTTGTTCAGGATCTTCCCTGGAGGGAATCCTTGACAGAACATCAGTATGGGTGTTGAGTCGTCCAGGCTTATATAGGATCTTGAAGTTAAACTCCGCTAACTGCACCACGAAGCATTGCTCAACTCCTTCGAGGATGGCTGTCTCCATGTCTGCATATATGGTCCATGATTAATGTGAACTTGGAAAATATCAGAATATTTCCATTACAGTCCATTTTAGCGACAGCATTTCCAATTCAAACGCACTGTAGTTCTTATAATTTCTCTCTGACCCTCTCAGCCCTCTACTCGCGAATGCAATGACTCTCTCAGCTCCCCACTGTTTTTGGCTTGATACGGCTCCAAGACCCTGGAGACTCCCATCCATTATGAAGAGTCTTGTGGACAACACCTGCTTGTGTGCACAGTTTCGCTCCATGAAAAACAGATATATATCAGAGTGAATCCGATCAAGGATTGT